AATAGAGGCAATGCTGTTTTCATATTGTGTAATGTTTGGTTTATTTTAATATTGATACTTTAAGTGCTCAGAAAAGAAATAATTTTTGAAATATATCATAGTAAAAAAAAAGTCGGTGATTTTAACTTTGTCAGTATTGTTATTTTTTTATTTTTTTCAAAAAGAAACAGATTTGGGCTTTAAATTGTACAGTTTACTCTTGTGTTTAGCTGTTATTTTATGTTTATATTAAGATATTGTGTCATATAAGAATTATTTAGCCAATGTCTCTGTTGCTTAAGCATAATGTTGTCAACACGATACAGTCAAGCTAAATGAACATGTGCAGTTGAAATCTGTTTATGCTGGGATGTATTGAACCCACTGATATAGGAAAACAAAACAACAACCCCTCATATTTAAGGTGTATTTACATGATCACTGTTGTTACAGGTGTTCAAGGTATACATCACTATTATAAATGAATGTGTGAACATGAGTCTATAAATGTTATATGATATACAACAGAATTAATACCCTTAGTATCTTTGTTGGGTGGTTAACTACAGCTTACCCTGTGTGTACATCTATGATAAACTTTGAAATAAATTTTGTTTGATGGTTATAATGACTGAACATGACACAAAATGATTTGTTAACTAATGTGATTGCTGGATTATAAAAAAAAAACAATCTTTTAAACTGATTACTCTATTCAGAAATGTAGCTGAGACTGGTGTTGCATGCTTGCTGTAACATATTTTTCTCATTATTATCACTAGCTCAAGAGACATAAGATGGATGGAGTAAGAAAGATGTGTGCCCATCCTTTCCTACCTCTGTGTAAGTAGTAATCAGCTGAAGTATTATTAGCTAAGAAAGATATATGCCTACCTTATCCTATTGCTTATTTTACATTCAAAGTCAAACTCTCGTAAGAAACTGCTGACTTATTTCAGACCCGCACAAAAACAATGTTTCCTGTATAAATATTTTGCATATGTCTGCTGCAATTTTTTGACTAATCAATATCTAGTCAATACATTTTCCCAAACTTACAAAATTGTGTGGATTTTTTGTGCAAAAATTAATTGAAAATTTGCATGTGAGTTTAATTTAAAGATAGAATGAATACTAATTAAACTATATTCTATTAATGTACACAGTAATATATATATATATATATATATATATATATATATCATAAAAAACGTAGCTGATAATCCATATTTTAATGATATACAAGTTTTAAGTTCTTACTTTTATAAGGCAACATTTAAAAATAATCGAAATTTACTGTAATTTGAGAATTGACATTTTCTCTCTAGGCATTCTTTCTTCTTTAATTTATTTACCACCCCTCCAAGAAGTATGGAATTTATCATAAATTATTTATTATAATATCTTCATTGATCAGGCAAAGCATAATTTTCATAACTTTCAATCTTATGCCCACCTGTCACATCCTCTCTTTCAGAAACTGCCAGCAGTTTTCTCTGATGTTCGAAACTATAGTATTTATAACCAATAGAAAGACAAGGTTTTCATCTATCAAATGACATATATTATGTTGTTTTCTGTATAGAGAATTGTCAGTTTCTCTTCCAGTTCAACCTTTATTCTCATGGGAAACACACCAACGAGCTTAGCTGAATTCCTAACGGTTCTTTTCACATAGCTAGAAAATCATAAAAATTGTGGTAGTAATGGGACATTGTCTGATTTTTGGATGTTATTATTTTGTTCTTTGGTGCATTATTTAATTAAATAAAAATTTATTTAGTGCACTACTGCCATTAGTATAAAAAGTAGGGTTAAGTGTCATCAACAATCAACAGCAAAAAAAAAAAGTCCCAGGTGTGTACTTTCTTTCTTGTTTTTCATGTGTATTCTTTATGTATTATAACAATGACTAAAATGTAGAAATAGGAATCTTTTTATGTTAGTTGGAGTTAGATTAGGTGAAATAAATAGTAATAATATAATAACATTTCTTGAGATAGATTTGTATGTAGCTCATGCATAATATAATTCAATGGTGTAATGTGAGCTGCACGTTTACTGAGTGATTTACAACTTATAATGGAGTAAATAGTAATTAGACAAGGTTCAAAGGGCAATAAACCAATAAAATTTAAGTATAAATAAATGTATACTGTTATGATTTTAAAGCTATTGAGGATAAAGAAATGTAGTTTCATATTACAATTTAAAGTCTAGAAAGAAAAAAGGGTAATTTAGATTTATTTCACTTTATTTTTTGGTGGTCACAATATCGGTCAAATTGACCAATCTTGTATAAAGTTAGAGTAGAGAAAATAACAGATAAAATAAAAAGTTATACTGAATAGAAATGTTTGAAATTTAGTTAGGAGGTTTTAGAAATTATACAAATAAAATTTGAGATTTTTGAGACAAAGAAAAGTATTTTTAATCTTAACATAAAAATCACTGAGCATTCAGAGTAATAATATAGTAGTATATAGAAATATTATCTATATTCACAGACACATCTTTAGTAAAAATACTTCATTAAAAAATCTGATATTTTGTGTACAAAAGATTTTTATGTTTGCTAAAAGTCTACCAAGTGTATTAAGAGTTATAGTATGGAAACTATAACGAGTACAACATTTGTTACGAGGTCAATTCGACCGAACCTGTGTGAAGAGAGTTAATAACTTCTAACTGTATTGGTAGAGTAATATGTGCCATTCTCATACCTGCTTTAATAACTTATAACTGTGTTGGTAAAGTAATAAGTGCCTCCACATGAGTAGTACTTTTCTTTTTTGTAGAAGGCTTTTGCAATGTAGGAAAGTTTTTGTATGTTTATAAATTGATGGCTTTTCCATCTTATCTTTTTTTAGACCTTTCAGGATCTCAGGATGGATCTTTACAGATGTGGAAATGGGGTCATCAGCAGGGAATTTCTTCCCCTCGTCCCCCTGGAACTTATGCCAAGGTCACAAATATGCTCTTTAATGTACAGGGTAATAAGGTTGGTTATTTGTCTTCTCCTGTATTGTATTTGTAATGTTAATATTTTCTTTGTTATTGAAGCCATCAGGTTTCTAAGTAACATATTAGGAAAGTATAAAAACAATGATAACCTTTCACTGAAATTGTTCTTATGGAAATCATCCTGTGGGTTAATTTCCATATAAAGTCTGCTTGGCACAATTCTGATCATATGGAGTAGTATTTGTTTATATTTGAACTACTTGTGAATTTCGTTTTTCTCCATCTTCCTTTTTAATTATTAAATTTCTCCCTCTATACAAATGGTCTCACTTATGTTTACTAGGAAAAATATTTGAAATTTTTACACCATGAACCTTCTCTAGTTTTTTCCAGAAAAATAACCAGATTCTTTGTCTTACTTTACTGCACAACTTCAACCGAAGCCTCAGAACAAACTATTTCTGTATTGAACAAGTCAATGTGTCTGACCTAGTCTTTCAGAATTAATAGTGTCATAGAAGGAGTACTTAACTTCAGAAAGAGCATCAAAAATCAAATTTACGTGTAATACGAAGTCTATTCAGTGTTTCTTTTTCTTTTAGTTTAAACAGGTGGATATTTCTTGTTTCACCTAAAATTTAAGAACTTTCTTTTCACATATACACCCGTATGGGTGTACATTATAGCAGTTTAACACCAGGGAGTTGACTGAAACATGGCTGAATTTCTTTTAATCTAGTTATACATTTACCTAGGTCAGTTCCATTGTGGCCATACACACTTTCTTGTTGGAAAGATTGCTGTAGGTATGTATAGTTAAACATGCTATAGATATTGGCAGTGAACCATTGGAAGTCCTTGTGACACCTTGGAATGGAAGCGACATGGTTAATGTACACACTGGGAGATATGATGCTATTGTATTATGTATATAGTCATTGTCTTCTCTGTCTGGACAGCCATCACATATGTTCATATTGTTCAACATTGTATCCATTGTCAGTTTGAGATTTAGAATTACCCCATGATACATTTTCTATCTTTATTGCTGTACTACTATTATCTCTCTCACTTAGTATAAATACAAAGGGAGAAACTGAAGTACATGAGGAATGAATGGCAGAATGATCAATCGTGGATTTCTAAACTTCGGTCAAATAATTTGTTGGCTATTAGCATTAAGCTTTTACTTTGAGATGAAATGAATCTGTTGCTGAGTTCTAGAAATTTGCTAATATAATAATTATATGCAAACTAAGAGCAAATGCCTTAATACATGTAAATTTTGTTTTGAAAAATTATTTGAACTGAACCTGTTCCTAAGTTCAAGAAACAAAGTAATTAGGTACCCTTGACAATGGCACATTTTTGTTTAATAAGTAACAATTGTACTTTATTAGTGAACTCCTATATTTTGTTCATATTATTGGGTTGACAGAGTCAGATGTATGATTTTGTGGTTTATATCTTTTGCAATGTTGTTGCTTGAAAATCAATTCTAGACAAAACCAGGAAAGAAGATATTTACTTAAATTTTAATACATAGACTCGAAATATATATAAAATGTGGTTTCCTTAGATTTGAGAAAAGTACAATCCATTCTGTACATCCAGTCACTTTTAACTTGTTAGGAAAACCCATCAGTCTATTTTTCTGATATTTTATTTCATTGGTTGAAGCTATTAACTGTTCACTGTGAATCATGCAAATATGATGTGACAGAAATTTTAGTGGTGAACAATGATTTCACTTTTCAAAATGATGACACTATTACTATTGTTTGGAAGATGTAGCAGGATATTTTGCTTGTGATCAAGGTTAATTTATGGTTAATAATTATAGATTAATTTAAACAAATCAATTTTTGTATTTGCAGGGGCTTTTTGAATGTAATAAACTTGATAGTAAATTCGATAAAAAAAAAAGTGCCATCCAAATAGTTTGCCAGCAAGAGCTTAGCTTATCTTCCTCGCTAAACCAAAATATCCTTACCTGATGTCTGGTTATAGAATATTCCTGTATTTTAATGGACTTCTGGAATAACAACATAATATCAGAAAATACTAAAAACATTCCCAGGCCTGTTAGGAAGTATTTCAAAACCTTGTTTAGCATGATTGTGCCCAAACTCTGCATTTTCTAAAATATATAATTTTCACATGGTGCTATTGTAATTAAAATTAAAATTTAGAACTTCTTACCATTAGATGGTTATCAACTTTAGGCTGTATTCCTTTTTAAAGCTTAGAATCATTTGAAAAATCTCAAAACCTTCCTGAACAGTACTATAAATGTGTACTTAAACAGCGAATTCACAGTTGGAAAATCAGAAGGCATAGAAACAAAGTAAAAGTCAAGCTTAAACCAAAAATATTTAAATTTGATTGGGAGAAATATATTTTAGCTTAGGAGCCAGCAATAAAAACAAAACAACAAAAATAAAAAGTGCATTGTTTGTAGTTCAGATATCTAAATACATAATAAAAATAAATGTTTGAACATATTTTGAATTTTATTTGTAAAATAAGCTACATTAAAATCATATAATGCTTAAATATCAATTCCACAATATTTGTAAGAAATTGTTAAAATAAAGGTAAAACAACATCCAAGAATTGAGATGTTAAAGTAAATGTTGTTTTATGATTATTCCACTTTGACAGATTTAATTCACTACAGTTTAAGCTTTTTTTATTATACAGTATTGTAAATAATTATAGGAATGCACAGATAATGCACATACAGGAATCACAAACAATGCATAATTGCAATAAATGGACAGTTTGTCATTGGGATAACATTACAGAAAATACAAAAGAAAAGAAAATAAGTTGTATAATACATTAGTTTTTTGTATTTGCTTTAAACATCTGTTCATAGGCTCAGTCTCATTGACTGACCTCAAATCTGTATCTTTTAATACACATTACCAATATTATTGTACACAAAAAAGAACAATTTTTTTAATAAAGTATTTGTACTAAACTTTTATATGTGAATTTCTGAAGCCTTTAATGAGTCAGTCTGAGTGAAAGATGATTTTCATGATAAGAATAAAAATACTTCTTTTCATCTTAGTTTCATATTTCATTTGCCTAACCTATAGAAACTCTTAAATGAGTAACAAGAGTTTTCTGCAATACTTAGTTTTATATCTTATTTTCTCTATATTAATACTAGTTATATGGAAATCATCAATATACAGTAAAATTAAAAGTTTGAAAATATGAAGTAAAATGAATAATACTATTTTTTCATCTACAACTGATTTCATTTTTGAATAGAAAGTTCCAAATTACTTATCCTAACTGTTAACCTTTTCATATGTTTTCTCCTACTTTTATGATTTTATTGCTCTAAGAAGGTTCCAGTTTACTTATCCTAATAGTTTTAGCTGTTAACCTTTTCACAACTGTTTTCTCTTTTATGATTTCACTGCTGCACCATGTACTCATTTGAGCGGTAATCCTTGTGTCACAATTAATAAATCATGAGGAAGCCATCACTTTTTACTTACTTTGATTAAAAATTTTTAAGAATAAATAAAAGAAGGATTTATAGTTCTTACATTGTTACAGCTCTTTTTGTACTCAAAGCCATTCTTCTGTAAGCCTCATTGATTCTCACAAACATGGGTGTCCAAATATAACTTATTTAGCTTTCAGACATGCATTGTAGAACACAAATAACATATCTATCATTAGATAAAATAGAACGTTTTAAAAATTATTATAATTTATCTGGCTTTCTAAGTGATCTATAAATAGGTTAAAAATTCCTTTAGCTGTTTGAAGTAAGAATAAGATGTTCACAAGCAAACTGTGGTCAATCCTTATTGTATGAGCACCAAAATCAAATAACTAATAAGCCTCATGTAGAGGAAAATCTGCTCTTCCTATTGGTTATAAATATTTCCATCAGGTTTGTAGAGTTGATTAGTGAACAATCTTAAGTTGGAGAGAGAGACATCTCCAATAGGTTTGACAGATTTATTTATATTTTAGCAATTTAAATATTTATATTTTAGACGCTTATATTGGTCCCATAGCATGATTCACTGTAGACGGTTATCAAACAACCTCCTATCAATTATTGAATAAACTATTTTTGTAGTTGAGATGTAACCCAAACTTGTATTGGTCCCCTAGCATAATTCAATGTAGATGGTTATCAAACAATCTTCTCTCTGTCATTGAATAAACTAATGTTGGTTGTATCCAGAAACTCGAATTTAGATTTGTTGGTAAAGAACAACCTTCTCCAGCTTTGGATATACCATTTAAGCCTTTTGATTCAGTTATCCCTCCAAAGCAATAGTGTTTGAGGCCACAACATGCTAATGTGTATCTTACTGTTATTGAGGTAACATTCATGCCTATACATTGTTCATATAGTCCTACTAAAACATGAAATTCTGCCTGAATCTGTTACTCAACCAAAAGATTCATTGATACACGTTAGTCCAATGGTATTTTTATCCTAGAGGTCACATGTACCTTTACCACACTAGTGCTGGCTATGACTACCTGTACTACTATAGGTATTATGCTAGTATGGCACTGTGTGACTTGTTGGATGATGACCAAACATTGTGTAAGCTATCAACATGTGAGTGTAATCTTGTGAGGTTCATTTTCATAGGGTAGAGGGTTTAGCATTTCCATAATTTTTTGCTGTAATCTTTCTTTCGAAAGCTATTTCCAGTGCTTGTAGTACATTATATATGGTGCGTGCATGTAATAATTCATTAGTTAATATATCTTAAATTTAATTCTCAATTATGAATTACAAGCTATAAATTTTGTGGCAATATTTGGGAAGTAAAATTGCAAATCATAATAAAACATTGTCTAACACAGGTATAACACGTACATTCATGTTTTTAACACACTAGGCTTTGATAATAATACATGTGTTGAAATTGATTTTAAATATATATATATATGCATAACTTGCCTCTTAATAACATTGAATTAACATTGAAGATTTTCATCATCATAAATGATGACAATGATACGATAAACGTGCTTTGAAATTTTATTTTGAAGTGTTAATTTTATTGTCAGGTTTGTTTTTGGAAGGAGCACCAAGGATTCAAGTTATTATAGACTTCAAGCATGAAAAGTAATTATAATTTGGAAGCAATTTACAAAAAGTGCAATTTTTAGCTGTTCCATTCAGGCTTGGCTTATGTTTCAGATTGTAGAATTCACTTTCCTAGCAAGATACTACTTGTTATAGAAATACATACAAATAACTCCTAGTACATAGGAAGATTGGGGATTAAAAATGGCCTGGGAAAATTATTTTTATACTAACCATCCACCGAAGTCAAGAGATTCCTGAAAAAACTGAGCAGGTGCTGCACTTGATGCTGCATAGGTTATAATCTGTACTATTCACACAGTTCATAAATTAAACAAAAAATACATTATGCAAAATTTTTCATTTACAGTCCAACATTTAGTACATTTATTACCTGTAAAGTGTAGACTTGTATGACCACAAAATTATATGAATTTAAAAGTAATATAATCACCTATATATTGTTTATCCATATTACAAGCCATTGATGGGAAAATTGTCTGGTTTTAATAATCTAAACAAATTTTAAATTTTTCTAATGGACTTTTGACCAACCAGGAATTTTCCCTGGTGACTTAATCTGCCCCTACCCTTGTAGACATAAGGTTTGCAAATTTTATTGTTGTACACTGTGTATTCTGTTATTGAAGGTATGTGACATCCTTGTATAGTTTTTAATAATATATGCAATTCATTATTCCACTACATTGAATATTTGCAGTTTGGAGTCACAGATGGCGATGGAAATCTCAGTCTCTGGCAAGTGGGATTAAGTACAGTAATGGATAAACCATTTTTTGTAAGTAATTTGTGTTTTAATCCAAGTAAAAATTTTATTATTTGAAAGTTTCATCAGATTTTGAAAAAATACTAATTTATCACATGAAAAGTTGAAGGTAGATAACCTGTTTCGATTTATCACTCTCAAAGAATTGTAGTTAGTATGTATAATAGGTGTTTTCTACCCCTTATATTGAACTCTTGTGTAACCTAACATTTTTCAAAATTTCAATGCACATATAAAGGATATGCAGCTTTAACTATAAAGCTTGGTCAAAGAAGGGGCTAAGTTCCTTTTGCCCTAGTTACATATTATTATTGGTCATTCACCTAAGGTATAATGTGTGCCTTCTCATGGGAAGGATTTTTCTAAAATTGAACATACTACATTAAAGTAGACAGCAAACTTTTCCCCTGGTAAGTCAGACGGTACCTTAAGGATACTACTTTCATTAGTTTTTGATATCTATATATAAAGACGAATTGTGTGTTTGTTTGCACCCTGACTCCTCCAAACCTATTGGGCCAATCTCAACCAAAATTTGTATGCAAACGCTATAAACTGTGGGGAATGTCCGAAATGGGTCAAAATTGAACTTAATCTTATTTCTATTTTGTAAAGCTTATTGGTTAATTACTCTCAGCCCATTGAGTCAATCTCAAACAATCTTGGCAAATTGATACTTTAGACTAATGAATATTGTAAAGGTATTCAAGATCAAAGTATGAAAGTTACTGGATTGTTTCTCAAACAACCATGCTTTTCTTATGGTCAATGAGATGTAGGGTGTTCAAGGGTGGGATCACCTCAAAATCTTTATTTGTTGATAGATGGAAAGCAAACTGCAAATGTTGTTTTGTTATAATTGTAAAATTTTTAGTTAAAGCTTATGTTCAAGTTATTACTTTGAAATATATAATTGCTGTTAAACTTACAATGTTTTATTTAACTTTAAATATTCCTCATCAGTTGACAGGTATTTCAGCTTGTAGTTATATATATGAAGCCTTTGAAGGATAGCTCATTGTTCTGTGTGTAAAGTCTTATGTTTCCTCAGTCTGGAATTGTACCTTTTGTTCTTCAGAGATATCTGGAAGCTCCAGTGAAAGTGTCATTATTCATACATATACTCATTGTCTTTTATTTTTAATGAAATAATTAGATTGCTTCACGTTGTTGTAAACTGTGTCCAGTCTTTTTCATTGTTCACTATTCAGTCAAAGTTGAAGAATATGGTTCGACTTCACGCAACATTTTCTGCTCAAACCTCCAGTTATTCTGTGAACCCCACTCAATTACTCTTAAGAGAAATCTCTTGAGAATTTTACTGTATTAATACAGTAGGTAACAAGTATTCTGTCTTACTGAGACATAAAAATTGTAGAAACTATCAGGCAAGTATTCTTGCATTTCCTAGAGTTACATATCTGATCTGTACTCCCTACTTTTTTTTGTAAAGTAACAGCATACTCATACTTTCTATATTTTTTGTAAGTTGGAGTTTGTTGCTTTTGATTTTATCAAAGCTTATTAGTTTTTAATGTGCATTTGTTGTCTTCTTTTTTATGTTACTGTTGTTCAACATAACAGATAATCAGTATTTATTTCAGTCATTCCACATTGTGTTTTCTTCATTCTTATCAGAGTGCCCAGTGTCACAGCAAAGAAGTCAGTGACTTTACTTTTGTTAGTTCCTCTAGTTTACTGGCCACAGCTGGTCACTCAGCAGAGAACAAAAACGTTTGTCTATGGGATACATTAGTACCTATTCGGAAAGCCATGGTATCAGGTTAGTGTTCTACTTTTTTTTAACAAAACTTGTTCTAGAAATCTAGCTGATCTTCCATCTTTGCTTTCCCTAAGATTTTTTATTATAATCCCCACTTGCCAGAAGCTACAAAAGCTGTAAGTTTGAGTAAATGTTCATTAAATGTTTAATTACCCCATATAGCAGTGTTTATTTTTGATAACTGATTGTCACAAGGTATGGCGACTTGGGAAACATTGTTTAAATTTATGTGTATATCTTCAGAATGAAAAGTTTTACTAAAATACTACCATTTTACACGAGAATATAAATATTATTTTTAAAAAGTGGGGGTCTGACTTCTGTTAGTTATCTCATTTCCTATGGATTTTCTCTGTTGTACCTTTTAAGCTTATAAATTTACAACTTTGCCTTGTTTTACCAATCACTATTTATGGTGCATGACAAGTATACGTATGTGTATTCATATAGATATGTTCATAAAGTGTCATAAGAATAGGTGAGTAATCTAACGTGTAGGAACATATCTTTAACACTGAGTGCTAATAAACGAAAAAAGGATGATATTTAAATGCTTCCAGGCTAACTTATTATTTTGAAGAACTCTCTCAGTTGAGTGAGGTATTTCTGTAGATCATAAATTCTTTATGAAGTGCTTGAAAGTTTATATAATTATCAATGCATATGGATTAATACCTTAATTCTTATTACCTGAAGCTATTTAGGTATGAAATTATTATAAAATTCATGTTTTGAACAAAATAATTATTGTCATCCAGAGATTTGGCATCTACTGAAGTTAATTGTTAGGTTGTATGTATGCAGGGTTAATGTAAAAAAAAAGTTACTTTACTTATACTGTGCATTTATGGTATTATGATTATTATTTAAAGTTACCTTTTTTTCTTTCTCCAGCTTTTATGTGTCATGAACAAGGTAGCTCTGCCATTGTATATGCTCCACAACATCAAGTTTTGATCAGTGCTGGAAAGAAAGGAGATGTCTGTATCCTTTTTATGTTTATCCAACTATTTTTGTCCTTTTTGAAAATTTGATTCTTTAACTTGTTAAATTTATATGTTTGGTGTAAGAATTTTCCATTATGGGAATAGCTTATATTAAAGTGTTATGTTTTTCTGCTTGCAAATACCTTCAGTAAGAGTTTAATAAAAGTAAAAAGTTTTAAAGTGCCATATTAATTGGGATGTTTTCCACCCTTTACAGTCTTTAGTATTTGATAAGGTGAGCCAGGTGTGGCCTAGTTATTAGCATGTCAGGCTGTAGATTCAAAAGGTCAGAGGTTTGAGATATGAAGCTGCTTAACACACTTTGTAGCTTCAGCTATTGTGTGTTATAAAAGTAACAGTCAATCCCTGAGCTGAGTGTGGCCTAGGTTTTTAGCATGTTGAGCTGCAGATCAAAAGCTTGGAGTTTTGAGATGTGAAACTGCTGAAGATGCTGTAATTTCAGGTACTTTATGTTATAAAATTGACAGTCAGTACCATTATGGTGGTAGGCACTGATTACTAAATGCCTTTCCTTTAGTCAGTATTTCAAATTGGAGATAGCTATGCCTGAATCCTAGGAGCCCCTGACCTGACTTTTTTAGCTTATCTGTACTTAACTCTCTCAACACAGGCTTGGTCAATTTGACCAACCACGTGACCTCTTTGTACTTGTTCAAAGTCTTTATAGATTTGATACACACTAACTTTTAATATGGTGTGTATTTTTTAGTGGAGTATTTTTAAAAAACTAAAAAAATATTTTTCATTGACTATATTGAGTATTTGTCTTGAATAGTCCATGTATAAAGTGATTTTCATAGTTAAAATTAAAAATACTTTTCTTCATCTCAAAAATCTCAAATTTCATTTGTTTAATATCTAAAACCTCCTAAATACTTTTCAAATGTTTTTTTCAGTAAAACTTTATATTTTATCTGTTATTTTCTCTACCCTAACTCCTCATAACTACCAAAAAAAATCGAATTATATCTAAATTACCCTCTTTTCTTTCTAGAATGACTTCAAATGTAACATGAAACTTAACCCTACTTTTTTATACTAGTAATAGTAGTGCATTAAATAATGCACCAAGGAACATAGAATAATAACATGTAAAAAGCAGACAATTTTCTCTAAGAATCACAATTTTTCTGGCTTTTTAACTATGCAACAAGAGCCATTACAAATTCATCCAAGCTAGCCATTGTGATTCCTGTGGGAACCAAAGTTATATTACAAGTGAAATTGATGTTTATCTATTCAGAACACAGTGTTATATAATACATAATTTGATTGATGCAAACATTGACTTTCTACTGGTTACAGATAATGTATAATTAAATGTGAGAGAGAACTTTTAACAAATCCTGAAGGAGAGAATGTGACAGGTGGGTGTAGCAGGAGGAGTCTCATTTTCTATTTGATAGCTCTGTAACCAAACAAAATTGATGGCTATAAAAGTTATGATTTGTCTGAGCAATGACAATTTTATAGTGAGTAATTTATGTTTCATTTCATCATTACTGGGATGTGGTGGACAAAAAGAAGAGAAGATACCTAGAGAAAATGTGTCATGTTACACTAGGGGAAATTTAGGATTTTAAAAAAAAACTTAAAATTTGTATACTATTAAAAAGGGATTATTAGCTAAGATTTTATGTGATACTAATTGGTATAACATAAACAAAAAGTAGTTTAATAAAAATGTTGAATGTAAGACTTGAAAACCTTGTGTCATGTGCAGTAAAGGATACCTGTAAGGATAGAAATAAACAATCTCCAGCTTCCCAAGCCTCACTCTATCCCTACCACATGTCTAAGTGATCAGGCTAAGTTCAATGCCATGTAGTCAATTTATTTTTGCTATATTATGCTTCTTTTCATAATTACCTGTACATAGCAGTATAGAATTGAAACGTAAAGCATCTCCAAGTGTTAGTGAGGCAAGGCTGCGACATTAGCTGAGAAAATTCAGATCCTTGATAAGTTGCAAAGTGGGATGAGTGTAGCACCCATAGGCCGGAAATATGGTGTGAATGAGTTTTCCATATGTATGATTAGGAGAAGTGATGAGAAAATCCGTGCAAGTGTTAAGGCTTTTGCCCCTATAAATGCTAAGGTTTCTCAAGTGGCTAGGAGGAATCTGTTCATGGAAAAAATCTGGTTGCAAAATCACTTTGTGCATGAGATTAAAGAATACCTGGCGAAGAAGAACCTCGACTTTAAGGTTTTTCTAGTTTTGGATAATGCTCCTGTTCATGACCCTGACACATTGCAATTCAGCCATCCCAATGTGGAGATAATATTTTTACCTCCCAATACCACATCCATCCTGCAACCGATGAACCAAGGAGTAATAAAGACACTCAAGTTGTACTATACAAGGAATATCTACCAGCGTGCAACTCAAGCTATAGACTCCAGTGTTTTTGAAAACTTCATGTTTTGGAGAGTTTATAACATTAAGGACTGTATCAATAACACCAAAATGTCAAGGGACAAGGTGAAAGAGCCTACTATAAATGCATGCTGGCATCATCTTTGGTCTGAAGTCATGAACTATTTCAAGGGCTTTCCGATGGTTGAGAAGGAAGTTTCTGATATCGTGAGACTTGCTAAAGAAATGGATTTGATAATATGAGGGATGAGGAAGTGGTTGAGCTGCTGGAGTCCCATTACCAAAAGCCTACGAATGATAAATTTGAAGTGATGATAGCCTCCAGCAACAGTGATAATGGTGAAGATGCTGAACCTGTTAAACCCATCCTCACAGCGAAGACTGTGTCCAATTTCCTATGCAAGGCAGACGAGCTTGCAGAAATGACTGTAGACATAGATCCCATAATGGAGAGAAGCATTAAATTTAAAAGAGGGTTTAATGATGTTCTAGCATTCTACAGAGAAATCTCGAAAGATTTGCAGAGGAAAGCCAAACAGGCAAAAATTGCTGATTTTTATGAAGTCCAAGTCAGCTGATGTAATGCCTTCTGACCCCATCCCATTGACTTCTACATCTGTTTCATTGGAGTTTGAAGCTGAATTTTCCATTGATCCATTGGCTATAAACTAACATCTCAGCCTCTAAATGTATTATCATCATCATTGCAAATCTTCCTCTCATAAACAAAAGGTCTTTGTCTTCATCATTCACAGGTGGATGAGTTTGACAAGAAAATGCAGTACTGTATTATTTCATTTAACATATTTTCATTTACAGGTGCAGGATATCACATATGAATGTTATTATGTTTATGATGTTATATTGTTAGTTCATGCACAATACTATATAGGTAGTGATTTTCATTTGTGTAAAAAAAATTCCGTATATTAGCAGTTATCAGAGACTTAACATGGCTGTGTTCCCATATCCCTATTAATCCTATAAAGTGTTGAGTTCCTCCAACATGGATTTGCCCAACACAGCTTGCTCGAGGAATGTATCCCTCATATTGGAGGAGGGCTCACTGTATTTATAAGTATGTAAAATATTTAAATTCATAATTCTGCTTTAACTTTTTTGGTTATTCCAATTTGATAACTTAGACTTAATTACACTAACAGGTGCAGGCTTAAGAGTATTTTCTTAGTGTTGTAGTTTTAAATGTCTTTGTCAAATGATATTTTTCTTTAATAAAAGAAGGTATATTTGATGTGCGACAACGACAACTTCGTCACAAGTTCCAGGCTCATGATTCTCCAATTAAATGCTTAGCTTTGGACCCAGGAGAAGAATTTTTTGTCACTGGGTCAGCTGATGGGGATATGAAGGTCAGATCATTTTTTTAATTTTTCTTTACTGCATGTGCTCATCAAAGACACACTTGAAAGGGTCAAGAAAATAGAGTAAAACATTATACTTATTTCACTCTCTTGAAGAGATGTTTGTATTTTAATCCCATTAAAATAACAGTCTTGTATATTTTCAAATGTTATAACATAATGTTTTGGGACAACATGGGACCTATTGGTCCATCTTGGCTGTTTCATCCTCTAAACTAAATCAAAAGAATAGAATCTTAAAGCCAGCCCTTATCATTCATGTACTTTTATCAAGCTTTTGGTCCATCTTGGCTGTTTCATCCTCTAAACTAAATGAAAACAATAATAAAAAAATATTAGTCTTTTATCATTCATGTATTTATGAAGCTTTTTCTTAAACTCAACATCCTATGGCAACCCATTCCAAAGGCCAACCACCCTGTTAGAAAAATGAAACTGTCTTAGCTGAAGATGACTCCTTCTTCGCCAAAATTTATATTTGTGTCCCCTAGTCTGACTATTCTCACTGTTAAATATGAAAAAAGATGATGCATCAACACTATCAATTCCCTTTACAATCTTAAACACTTCAATCAGATCCCCCAACTCTTTTTTTTTTTTTTCCAAGAGAAAACAATTTGAGAGATTTCAGCCTCTCCTCGTATGACAATACATTCATCCCAGGCACCATT